AGAGTCCTCTGTCTTTTTGCTGCAAGCACCTCTTTATCTCTATGGAGTTACCTTTAATAGTGGTTTAAAAAAAAAAATCCAAAACAATAGGGAAAGCAAAAATGACATTAAAACCCTGAATTTTGCTGTCTGGTATTACTGCTTTCAATTTAAGTTAGAGTTTATATTTTGCTCTTTTTACTTGGGAAAAGCAAAGTTTGTGAAAACTTTAATTTTAGTGATAGGTGGCTTGTGAGAGCTGAGGTGTAGTTACTGAGCTATGTCAAAGTAAGCTGCATAACTGTTCACAGGCTGTATATATAAATGTAAATATTCTTGTGGAAGCCAGTGCTGAATCTCATGCTGTTTCCTCTTCCATACGTATTTTGTCCCCTTCAAGAGCATCCAGTAATACTGGATCACATTATTTCTTTGAACAATGTAGAATGACGCTGGCAATAAGCCCACTGAAAAGAGGGAAAAGTAGTATGCTTGCTTTATGAAGAAAAAAAAATACAGGTATTTGTCCTACCTCGTTCTTCACTGATGTGTGTTCACCTTTGTTTTTCTAAGGTGCACATCTCTGTCACTGGTTTCTACTGAAGTCCTTTCCTAAGTTTTTCTTAACCTGTGTGGAAGAACCTCAGTTATGAGGTACTGTATCTTAATCTTCGTTACTGAATTCCTAATTGCTAGGCGGTTGATGCTATTGTATTGGCAGTATTATGGGTTTTCTGCCGTGCCCTCCCTCTGGCTGCAGTCCCGTTGGAAGGATGCCTCTGGAAAAGTGCCCTTAACCCAGGAGCAATGAAAACTTCCCAGGGTCAGCTGTGAATATTGCCATTCTTGAAATAACTCAGGGGATTAAAAACCAATAATAGTAAAGTTGAATTTTCTGACTTCCACCTTGTCATGAAGGCTGTTGCAACCATCAAACAGCCCAGACTAAAATGAGATATCTAATTTTAAAGCTTTTTTTTTTTTTTTTCTTAATTTAGTGGAAAATTGTACTCTTTTCTTAGTTTAATGGAAGATTGTACTCTGTTCACATTGTTGGTGTAGCTCCTTCTGTGCAGACCAGCATCCCTTCTTGTGCTTGGGCATCCACTGAGCACATTGCCCGGAGTTTGCTGGGAGTGCCTTTGGCTGGTGCCGAGGGATTTCAAAGAGCAAACCAAAACCTGCCTCTTCTAATTTAATGTTGGTTTTAATCTACATCTGCAGCAGCAGCTGCGTTCTAAAATCTAAATCAAATCAGGAGGTGAGGATTCAATTTATTAAGCTTCTGCTTAAGCTTGGTGAAATAATGCAAGAGGCTTCGAGAGCACTGAATTGCTTTGGTTTTATTGGGAATATGTTTTTTTTTTTAAAAAAAAAAACCACCTAAAAAAACAACCCAAAAACCAACCAAGCAAAAAAACCACAACAACAACAACAAAACCCAAACAAAACAAAAACAAAAACCCAAAACAGAACAGGTATTTCTTATTTTTTCTGGAAAGGCTGAGCAGGCAGAGCTACTTCCGATGAATGCTAACACATCATTCAAAGGTGTCCTCAAGGATTAAAGAAATACTTTTCTTTCTGTCCTGGATGGAGACACTGTGCAGTCAGGAGGTTAAGTGATCTGGCCAGGGCTGTGTCTCTTGAGCATGAAGTCAGGCTAATCCTCTGGCCCTAGTGCTTTGAGATAGGCCTGCCTGCTCTTTCCTGTTATAACAAGCTCCTCCAGAAAATCAAGGTGTTGTTAAAGCTAACAAAGCCAGGACATGGCATATAAAGCGGAATGATTGTGCTAGAGGTGAGATTTATGGAAGCAGAGGTTCACAGAGATGCTCTCCTCCTGCCTAGGGTGGGTACCTGCCTGGAGGCATGGTTTTGGTGACTCAGTGTCTCTCATCTATATGAATTTAATTGGCAAATGTATGGTATATGAAGCCTCATCAGAGGAAATGGGTTGCAGAAGTCAGAGTCAAGAAAGGAGGGTGATGTGAACATGCTGCTCCAGCGTGCCCCTGCCATGGGATACTTCCAAGCCTTGGTGGGTTTTAATTAAAGCTCGCCCTGTAAAGATCTAAGAATGACAAAATGCTTTTATTTCAGTGCTGTATGGTTTGACATATGTGGGATTTATGGGTGAAAAGGAAGGTTCGGATGCGGGTTTGTGTAGCAGCCTGCCCTGCCTGGAGGGTTTGCATCTCCGCTGGAGCACAGCAAAGAGGGGAGGACGGTGAAAATGCACAACAAAAGGAAAAACCAACAGTGGTCCCCTTTTTGGATATGTGTGTGCATGCACGCACGAGAGCACAGCACTATAGATGCTTGGGGAAATACATCCATAACAGCCTCTCCTCCCTAACAGCCTGTAGCTGTTTAGCAGGATGGGAAATGCTTGGTGTGGGGAGTGCTCGTGCTGGAGCAGTGATGGCATTTGGGATCTCCCTGCTGGGAAATAAATTACCCTGAAGACTCCCAAGGCCTTGGAAAGACCTATGTCTTACTGCCTTCTGTACTGCAGGATCCCTTGCATGCACGCGTATACTCAGAGTCTTGGAAAACTGATGATATTGTTGTTAAAATTCTATAGTTTTGTGGTCAGGGTGGCTGGTGGGATGGGAGGTTCTCCACCACCACCAGGTTGTAAGTCCATCCCTGGGTGGTGGATGCTGAGAGCTGCTACCCACCACCAGCAGCTCATCAGCGCAGAGCCTCACGTCTTGCCCAGGTGTTGGATGGCTCCTGGCCATGGTTGGCCATGGACTGCCAAGAGGGGCCAACGTGACCTCTTACTGCTGCTGGAGGTGAGCCCATATTTCCTCCACCGAAGCGTGCACAAGCACCACGGTGGTTTTTGAGTTGCTTTGGTGTCCGTGTGCCCCTCTCTGCACCTGTGTGTCCAGGCAGGTTCAAGGCTTGGCCCAGCCCTTTGTGCAGGTGGAGAGTTTGCAGGACTCCAGCAAAGACCACCAATGTCTTGTTTTTGAGGCTGGCTTGAGCCAGGTACATCCTGATCCCCAGATATTTTGGGCTATTCTAAGGTCTGTTTGATCTCTTTTCTTCCAGGAGAGAGCACTGGATGAAACCACAGTGGTGGGGATCACAAGTCAGTCAAGGTGCTTTGCAGGAGGAGTGGGAGCTGCAGTAATGGTCCATAAAGCCCTTCCTGTAGTGTTGGAGCCTGGAGAAACTGATGAGGTGCAGGGGGTTGAGAAAAGCTGAGTAATGCATTGCCATCTCACCAGCTGCACCTACTCCTTCTTTCATGGTCCAGCCAAAGATGGGGTTCTTGGCCATGCTTCAAGGGTGCTTCATCTCTTACAGTGCTGTTTGCTGGAGGGAATAGGGGAGATAAGGCTGGGGGTCCCAAATTGGCCCCTTCCCTGGGGCAGGGAAAGCACTGAAGTCTTCTGGTGTGCTGAGTAAAGTCTATTTTTTTTTAGGTTTTTTTTTCCCTTCCCTGATAAAACTGCTCTTCTGGCAATAAATTTGTGTAGTTCCATTAACACCTAAAGGTTCCTGTTGCTGTAGCTATTGAGGAGGTCTAAAAATAATTACATGTGGTAAGTATAAAAATCTACCACTCTTCAGCTGCAGAACAGGCTGCTAGCTGCTGATTTATCTCTTGGGTTGTGCATTGGGTTTGTGTGGCTGCAAGTGTTACCTGGTCATCATGTGCTGGGCCTTTGATCTGAAGCTGAGGGCTAAAACCATTTTCAGTGCTGTGGTGCTGGTGTCACTTGGATTTGCTGGGATTTACCCCAACCCTTTGTGTTTTGCCTAATAATAAGTTTATATAGCTCTTATTTCAATCAATAGGAAGAGTTGGAGGGAGATGTACCTTCAAAAATGCCAATAAATGATTGCTGAAGGGTTCCTGTTGACTGTGTGTTGACTGGCTGAGTCCAGCATCAGGCTGGCTTTATGAGTCCATGTCTGGCAACAAAAGCCCGACTCAAGGCGACTCCCTGCAGAGATGGAGAAATTCTGTGTTCCTTGTTCTCGGGACCTTGCCCTGGCAGCCCCATGAGCAGGAAAACTGGTACCTGAAAAAAAAAAAAAAAAAGAAGGTGGACGTAGAGTATGAGGGGAAAGCCATGCATGGAGGTTGCAGCCTTACTGCTGGGTCTGCAGTGTGTTTGTCCCAACTCCTGAGAGCAAGTACTGGAGGTCTCAGCACAGCACTGGTTACTCGCTCAGCATGGGGCTTTTACACAGCCCGGGCAGAGTAATTTACCTCTGCATCATAAAAGCAAATTCAATCTGATTAGCAGGAGGTGTTGTGGCTCTGAGTAACACCATAATCTTGCTATGTGTGAGTGGTGATGCTCGCTCTTGGATTTTTTCCCATCATGGACACTTTGGCTGGGCTGTACAGGTCCACCTTCAGGATTTCCTCTCAGAGGCATAAGGGTGGCCTGACCTTTAGAAATGTTAAAAAGGTTAGATGTTGCATTTAAGCATTTTTCTGGAGCCTTGATGCCTGTTTGTGGGTTCATCTCTAACCAAAGAAGTTGGCTTTGGTGTCTTCTGTTGATGGCTTTAGCACCATGATGGTGGGTTTGGGTTAGGGCTTGGTCTGCAGGGAGCAACCTATTGCTTTGTGCAGAAGAAATATAGAAATATGCTTTGGTTGTAGGGTCTGCTGGTGGGGAAATGGTATTATTTCATAAAAGCTTCCAGAAGGCTGTTTTTTTGTTTTGGTTTTGTTTTGTTTTGTTTTGTTTTCCAGAGAAGTTAAAATTCACATTTACCTCGAGTCTGTACCCTGCTTTGCTAGGTTGGTAACAAGCCAATGTACACCTTGTCCAGGAGAAGTGTGACTTGAAAATCAGACTTCTAGTCTATAGTTTGCCCCAAAATCTAAAACTAGATTATTTTTTTTTTGGACGTAAATAGTTTGGCTGCACTGACTATACAATGAGTATGAGACTGTATCCATGGTGAATTAATTTATTTGTGTTTTAATTTCCTGAGGTTTTCTTGTGTTTAAGTCTTTTCTTTTTGTTCCCTCCCCTCTCCAGAACGCTAGGGTCTGGATTCCTGACCCTGATGAAGTTTGGAAATCAGCAGTAATTGCTGAGGATTACAAAGAAGGAGATAAAAGCCTCCGTCTGATACTTGAAGATGAAACTGTAAGCTTTTGAATATTGTTATTCATTTCAGTACTTTAAAACTTTGAAATAATGTGTGAAGAATCCTGAACCATCTCATATTTTTTACAAATTATTTTAAAATGTGCTTTATTGCCTTAACAGTTCCAGTTTTTCCCTGCCTACTCCCTCCCCAGACCACTTGTGTTAAAATAGGTTGTGAGAAAAGCCCTTTACCTCTCTCATCTCTTTTCATCCCCTGGCAAAGTTGTAATAGTTTGATATCAGAATGATTTTTTTATTTATTTTTTTTTTAATTTATAGCAGCAGTATAGTAGAAATATCAGTTTATGCTTTTTGCTGCTGAACAAATTGTAAAAAGCATGGCTGGTGACATCTACCCAAGCTTGGGTACTGATGGAAAAATCACACAGATCTTAAAAGTGACTGCTGTGCAACAGCTTTCTCCATGCCTTAGTCTTCCTCTTTAAGTATAATCTTATGTAAAACCCTGTTGTTTTTTTTTTTTTTTTTTTTAATTAAAAAAACTCTAAAAGAGAAAAATCAGAAACTCAGTTAAATGTATGTGTTTTTTAGCAGTGCTTCTTTCAAATGCACCAACAGCCCAGGCTCATGGCATGTGTGCAGCTGGTGATAAATCATTCCCAAAGCAGAGTGGAGAGCAGCTGCCTTCTGTCCTGCCCAAAAATCTCCTGGGGGTGGGATGTTGGGGAACAGTAGGGGATTGCAGGTGAAGTTAACTGTGGCATTTTCATCAGCTGCAAAATTTGGGTGGTTTATGGGAAGGGAAGTGACCATGCTGCGTACCCACCATGAGGTGCATTTCCCATGCATGGTGCCTGGTGTGTAGCAGGAGGAATAAATATTTTTAATGAGGAATTCCACCTGAACCAGCTTTCTTCACTGAACAGGTTAGAGTTTCCTTAACTGTCTAGGCAGAGATTTTCTCTGTTGCTTAAGATAGTTAATAGGGGCCACATTCTCCAAATTGAAAATGCTCCAAGGAGGGTGAGTAATTGATGTCCCCTGACAGCCAACCATTTCCATACTGTGGGGAATATTTTCACCATATTACTTAATGGGAAGATGGAGAACAGGAATGAGGCATGGTTGATTAGGCTGTTCATCAAGACAATTCCTCTTTCAGAGCAGCACAAGCGCAGGCCGTTTGCAGGACGTGAACATGCCAGGCTTGCAGAGAAAGTAATTCCTGTTGAAATCTGTGCCCGGCACACTTTAGTTTGTGTGTGGAGCTGCTGGATCTGCTGGGGTCAGCCCTGGCTGTGTTTGTCCTCCCCAATTTGCTCTTCCAGCACAGGGCAGCTTTCGGAGCAGGGTAAAGGATGGATGATGCTCCTCTTGGAGATACCTTTTTTTTTTTTTTTTTTCTTCCCCCTCCATGGTGATAAATCAGGACGAGGAGATGCACAGATGCCACCTCGCTGTCTGTTGCAAGCACCAGACATGTTCTTGTAGCACCATGAGTCACTGCCCCATGTTTCTTGGTGGGCTCCCTGACCAGTGGCCAGGTGGTTGGACCTCCTGAATTCACCATCCTGCATCCATCAGTCCCTGTTCCAAGCAATACCTTTGTCTCTCATGACACGATGTGTTGTGTTAATGCTGCAAACACGATGCTCATGCCAGGCATATTTCCACCATTCCAGTCATTCCACGAAAGCAGCTTGTCTCTGCTTCCCAGTGCCCTCAGATGCCACAGGGGTGATGCCTGCTGCAGGTATTTTTACGTCCTTTTTCCCTTTGCTCCTGAGGCAAGAAGATGGAAACCTTGCAGAAATCAAGCAGCAGTGCTCAAGCCTTTGCAGGAAATGGGTGATGGGTGTGAAAAGCACTCCAGGCTTCAACTCCAGGGCAAGTTTCAAGAGCAGTGCTAATGAGTGCCCTTTTTGGGGTGCTCATCAGAGATGGGTGCCTGGGAGCAAGTGGGCACCCATCTTATCCACAGCAGGTCCTTCCTACCACTTGTGTTCAAGCTGCCAAAGTACGTCTGCACGTAGTGCTGAGTGCTGCAACCTCCATCCTTCTTTTCTGATTGACATCTTCAGCAGTTTTAGTAATTGGGGGGCTGAGGGAGAGGTTGTTTTATTTTTTTCCCCCTCTTAAAACTGGATATCTCTGTGGAAACCAAAGGGGCCAAGAAGTCCTGCAAGGTCTAGCCTTTTTGTACAACTGAATTCAGGGCCAGCAACATTAAAATACAAGGAAATTAAAGGATTACTAGGTGTTGTAGATGGTAGCTTGATAAGCATGTCACTGTTAGGTGAAACACAGGAACATCTCATTTTGGGGTTGTGTGAGAGACGATTGCTTACTGCGGTCCTCCCAGGGACCCCAGTTTGATGCTTTTCTCTATGAAACCCTGCCTGGGCCCAGGTCACGTTGGGCTGAAAAGCTTTAGTGAAGGGGAACAGTGCACATGTGTATCAGATGGAGATACTGAGCATACATATCTTTGGGGATTTGAAGTTGTTGATAAGCCTTTTGTTCCTGACAACCAACATGCATTACCCAACTGTTAGTGCTTCTCTTTTGTCCTTGTGCTTTAAGTGAATTTTCATGGGTTTTGTGGTTTCTGACTGTACTCTGTACGCAAGAGTAATGCTTCTGAATGAAGAGCTGATTTCTAAATATCACAAGGGATGCCTGGTGTGTTTGCCATTAAGGTGTGAGACTGAGTGCAAACTCTTGAAAATTGGCATTGGCAACATGGAATTGGAATATAAGACAACCCTGAGGTTGTCAGGCATGTTGCGTGAGCCTTATGCTTGAGCACTTGGGTCAGCTTTTTGTGTGCTGTTTGCATGGGCAGAGATCCAATGCCACTGCAATGGTAGTGGAGCCCTTTTACTTGCAAACTGAGATTTCTCTCTTCTGCTGGGAGCTGAGCCTCAGGACCCCTTCTGCAGACACCCATGGGAAGCAACATCACAGGCAACATTTCCCTCCACTGCAAAGGGAAAAAAGTACACTTTTTCTGTAGTTGATGGCTCTGTTGTAGATTTGGGGATGAATCAAAAATAGTTTTCATGTGTGCAGCCTTATGCTTCAATGGCATAACCTGGCTGTTCAGATATTGAAGCAGCAGGGACTCCATGGTTCTCCATGTCCTTCTCTGCCTGAGGGAGCGTAAGGTTTTTGAGGATAAAGGTAACAAATTAAAAATAAGTTAAGAAATCACTCTGATGGGAAGAATATGGTCTAGTTTGAAATGAGACTGCTATTCAAAGAGCATGAAGGTGTGTAGATCAGATGATGCTGTGGTTTTCTTTATGGTATCTGTTACTGCTCAGAGCTGGCTAAAGGCTATTTGCTCTAAGGATGGCCTGAAAATAGCTCGGGTTGGTGTTTGTGGAGCATCAGTGTCCACCAGGACCATCTGTTGGCCAGCTCAAAGCCGTTTACAAAGAGAATGACCTGTCACCTGGCTGTATGTGATCCAGGTCCCTATAGAGTTTGGCATAAAAAGGCTTTCATTTCATTTAGAGCACAATGTTTAAATATTTTATAGTATCAGGATGGACTTATGCTTGGAGAAGTTGTGGTTTTGTGTTCTCACGTTCCTTGTGTGTGTCTCTTCAGCTCTACGAATATGCTATTGACTGCCATGAAAATGAGCTGCCTTTCCTGCGCAATCCAGATGTCTTGGTGGGAGAGAGTGACCTAACAGCCCTGAGCTACCTGCACGAGGCCGCTGTCCTCAACAACCTCAAAGTCAGATTTCTGGAGTCCAACAGCATCTACACGTACTGTGGTGAGTGTCTGGGCCACACGTTCAGCTCCTGGAGAGCTATGGGTTAGAACATGTCCACACAGAAACCTCTTGAGACCACAAGCCAGAGGCTGTGGCATGAGGAAGGTCTGGGGGGCTGTGAATTTGGAGTGGGTGGGCAACACTAGTGTGTGCTAACGTGCTTTAGGTTGCAAAACCAGAGGTGATTTTTGGGGGTTGGTGTGCTGTGAACTTCCTGAGCCTCATGGTCCATGTATGTTAACTCTTGGTGGGAACATCTTGTCAGATGAGTTTCAGGCCAACTCTGCATGTGCTTGGCAGTCTATGGGAAAAAATGTAGGACCTATCAAACCACTGGAGAACAGCAGTATGCCAGAAGGATGCAATCCAACTGAGAAATGCCCATAGTAGGTTTTTCTCCTGAAAAACTGCAAAAAAACCTTGTTGCACTGTTATTTCCTTCCTGTTCTTGTCAGTCATTGAACTCCTAAATTCAAAGCATGAGGAGGGCAGTCATGAACTTGGGTTTGTCATTCCTGGGGAGGGTGGCTTGGCAAAACCATTCAGGACAGCAGTTACCCGTGAACAGATAGCAACAAACTGCAACCTAAAAACAAAGGAAGAAGGCAATTCAGCCATTTCTAATTGAGCTACGTTGGAGAACACTGAATGTTGAACCCTCTTGCTGGTACTCAAGGTGACCTTGCTAGCAGTGATGGAGACTAATGATTCTCTAAGTGATGAGTTGCAAGATTTCAGTGAAATGCATGCAACTATTTGTGTGGAAGGGTTAAGCCTGGTACATACAGCTATGACCAAGTGTTGCAGCTTCTGTGGAGGAAATGCTTGTCAGGAGGAGACTCTTTGATAGAGTAATGCCCTTGAAATACATGGCCTCAGTGGCTGGTAACAGTGGTGACTTTCCTTTAAATTTGTAATGATGTGTAGTGTTAAACTACTGGCATAACTTTCAGCCTTTTGTAGCTGCATGTGTGCTCCCAGTCAGCTGCAAGCCTGCTTTCATCCAAAATCAGTGAAGTTTCATTAGTGCATCTTCATGTGAAGGTTTATGATAACTTATCGCTCTAGTGAAGATATGTGGGTTTAGGCTTAGCTGTTTCAGCTTAGCAAGTGCAGGTTTAGCTACAAAGCTCTGCATGGGTGCAACATACCTTGTGCTTTTGTTATAAGGTAGTTGAGAAGGAGAGAAAAGTGCTTGTTGGGCTGCCAGTGCTGAGGCAACTGCAGCTCTTCGGCTTGGTTTGCACCATGCAGGTGTGATTTCAGGTGTGACTGAGGGTAAGAGGTGCATGACCCTAACAGAACCAAGGAGCAAAACCAGATAGGAGCAGGGCATGGGAGGGTGAAGCTGTTGGGTTGATATCACATGAAGGCAGGTAATGTGCCTTAGCTGCCCTTTGCCTTTCGTTGTGGGTTAAGTCACGTATCCTGGTGCTGGCTGAGAGTTCCTGTGGTTTGCTGTAATTTGAGCGTGCCCGAGCCCTGAATCAGCCAGGCTGGGAGCACAGCACCCATTCCTACCAGCCACGTGCTCTCCAGAGCTCCTTATGATAACAATTTAAACCTGTAAAACCTGAAGGTTCTTCAGAGGTGGAACCTATCAGTGCTTCAGTTGCGCAGGAGGCAGACCAGCTCCCTTGAGCACACAGGTAGCACTTGCACGTGGCTTTGCCTCATTAATTCCTGGGCTAACTGCCTCCTCCAGGCAGGCATGGCTTTCCTCTCCAGCTCTAGGAACGAGACATTAAATGTTTAATGCAGGCTCTGTCATTCCTTTCCTGTGATTTATGCATTTAATTTGGATCAGAGTACATTCTTTGTTGTGAGCTTTTGGAATTTAAGCCAGGGCTAAACCCAGGGTATTTGTTTGGGTCTAGCAGAGCTTTGGTTGCATAGGAATTGCTTTTTTGAAGTGATGGCTCAGACACTTTATCCCTTCTTGCTCCTCCTGCGAAGTCTGGCTTCACACAATGAAGATTATTATATATTTGCTCTTCTCACCAGTTTTGTATGCCTCATGTAGCTGTAGTGGAGCTTATAGCCTTGCTGTCAAAGCATAGCACTGTGAAGGAAGTGCTGAGAGAATAAGTTAGGAGTCCTTCCCCATTTTTTTTTTTGTTTGCCTCCAAGCATCATATTTAAAAAAATTGATTGAAACAACTAGTGCAAGCCCTTAAAAGCTGGAATTGCTAACTGTTTGTGTCGTAACATATCTGTCTGTTTGTTCTAAGGTATTGTACTTCTTGCCATCAATCCATATGAGTGGCTACCAATCTACGAACAAGATGTCATCTACACCTACAGTGGCCAAAACATGGGCGATATGGATCCTCACATCTTTGCAGTGGCAGAGGAAGCCTATAAGCAGATGACCAGGTGAGCAGGCGCTCAGTTAACGGGGTTGGATCAAAAGCGGGCAAATACGCAATTAAATATTGCAAATATTCAATGAAAGTGAAGTTGTGGAAAAGAGCGTGAAACTTTCAGATTTAAATTTCTAGTGAGAATACGGTGTCTACTATCATGCTTTTCTATCCCCGCATTCATGTGTTGGCTGTCTTCACTCATGGGTGCTGTAGCTCTGTCCCTCTTCTACAAGATGCAAGACTTGGTTCCTGCAGGAGAGGCTGCTGCATGATGTAGAACTGCTTCACAGTGAAATCTTGTTGAGGTCAGGTATTCCTAATTAATTCTGTTTACTGACTTGACCCCATTAGTGGCTTCCAAGACTGTGGGACTGATGGGGATCTCTGTGGCCCTCAGGAACTCACAGGTTTGGTGCACCTGTGATTCAAATGGGGATCTTTCTCCTGTTGCTTCTTCGATGAGTTTCCTGGAAGAAATTCAAACCACTCTGCAAATGTCATGTTTAATAGCTTGGAGGAAACGTCATTTCAGATAATTTGTTGAGGTAATCAGACTAAACACAGAAGCTAATGTTAGTTGTCTTTATGGAAACACTGTGATTTTGAGTTAGCAAGTGACTGTCAGATATTTGGAGATATTTATTGGCTCTTCAAAGCAGTGTCTTCACCAGAGGAACATGGTGTGAGTTTTACTTTATTTCTGTTTGTTGTGTTGCTGAGGACAGAAGCAGGATTTTGTTCTTGCCAGATAAGCCATGATCTCAAAGAGAATTTGAGAGGAAGCTGAAAGTTGTTGCATCGGGCTCACTTTATTATATTTGTCTGGGCTTGCATAGTGTATTTAGGTTTGCTTGTGGATTAGCCGTGATTTTTACATAGCCTTGGCTTTTAATAGCAAGAATGAGCACTGAACTGTTTACCAAGGGTTTCAGCCTGTTTTCTGCCATGTCTTGGCTTTAAGTGATGAGTTAAGATGTGTTTCTAATCAAAGCTGAGCCAGCATTCAATTCAGAAATGTATCTGAGGGAGCATTGCCATGGGTGGAGATCAGATGGATTGTACCCAAACTGACTCCAACCTGCAATTCAGACCTCCTGCAAGTGCTCATGCTTTGGGCTAAACGGCTTTTGGGCAAACTTAGAAATTTGGGGAGCTGTCTATAGAAAGAGGGAGGCTTAGGACTGTGTCCTTGTTACATGAGTCCAGGCTGAGCAGCAAGCTGCATGATTCTTTGTACATGATGTTAGGGTTTTGCTAACCAACGGACCCATAAAGTTTCCTGGGCACACATCTAAAGTATAAGGCAACTACTTGCTTTTCTGCTGAAGTCTGTGCTGGGGAAGACTTGGTGCTTTCCCACATCCCTGCGTATTATTTGCAGGCAGTGGGGTAACTGACAGCTCTAGCCAGAGGTGCTCGACTCTGCTCTCCTTATCAGAGTAAATCTGCTTTTGACAGCCCCTGCAGTTGGTAACTGCTGGCTGTGGTTGGTTAGGAGCGCTCTGTTTGCAAGAGGACATGGAAATAGCCACCTCCAAAGCTCTTAAACACAATGCTCTCTGTACAGCTCTGCTCTGGTGCTTTCTGTCTCGGGCTGGTATTAGGGTAGTTGCAGGCTTGGATACAAAAGAGAGATTCACATGGGGCTGAGAGGAGATTGGCATGTGGATTATAAGGAATCTGCCTTAAAATGTAGCACAGAATATTCTGTATCTGAAAGTTCTGGGTGGACGTTGTGTTCTCCGCAGTTTGATCTGGACTTTTCCCAGAGAGTGGTGGAGCTGCTTGAGCAGGGCGTGTGGGTGGTGTGTCTTGTGTGATGGGCGGTAGTGCATGGGGTAGGACTTCATTTTGCCTTTTTTTTTGACTGAAAAACTGACTCTGCAGGACGCTTTGTATCTGCAGCTCTGCTTTAGGCAAGGGGGGTGCTGGTGGGTGTGGTGGGACACGGGTACTTGGGCAGCTCAGCCATCAGGATGGAGGTCTGTGAGCATCTTAAATCTAAGCAGTGCAAAACCATCACTTCTTTTGCAGTGTTTTAGCTTTTAGACAATTGCATTATGTCTGGTGTATCCTGTAGATCAGGAATAAAACTCAAACCTGCGATCTCAAAAGGTCAAGCTTACAATGTGACTGAGATCAGGAAAGCAGTCTCTGACTAGCCTTCTGGGTTTCTTTGTTTATTTATCTATATAAGTGTGTGCTTGCGATATATGCATATATAGACTTACATATTTTTAAAAAATCAGAATTACTCATTCTAAAAACAAATTAAATGCAAATCATATCATAGAAAACTGAGAATAATGATGCAGATGTGCATCCTGTTTGAATTTCTCTGGTTTTGTTTCAATGAGTGTCTTTAAGTAAGAAAATAAAACAAGTAAAACAAGCTTTCTTCATAAAATACGGTTTGCAAACGGCTGATTTATTTGCAACATCACTGAGCAAAAAGGTGCTGAGTAAAAACTTGCTGGAGATGCTGAGCAGTCGCTGCTGCGTGAGCTTGTCTGGTGTTTGGTGGAGTGTCATCTCCAAGTTTTGCAATGAGCAGCTTCTTCATTTTTCATGCTTTTATATATGTCCATGGGATAGTATTTGTGCAGTTTGTGTGGCAGAGCAGAACTTCGTTAGCTGACTCTCAGTAAGCTGCTTCTTTGAGATCAGGGGTAGTAAACCCTTCAAAAAAAACATTGCTCCAGTGGTGGCTGAGACTTTTTTGGTGCCACAGGCAAATGGTGTGAACTTTGAGCAAGTGTGTGAGTGGGCTGATGGTGCCAGCTTCTCCCTTGCTCGGGGTTTCAAGTTGCAGTGGTCTTCTGAGGGCAAACTTTCTGTCCTTTTCATGAAGACCCAGATAAAGAAGGCTGCCAGGTGTGTCATGTTTTTATAGGCCAGAGCAAGGACATAATCAGGAACGATGAATTCACCTTGAATAGCTCTTCTGTGCAGAAAGAAATGTCATATATATATATATATATATATATATATATACACACACACACATACACAGACATACATATATATAAAACAATACATATATAATATATAAAATGTGTAATACATGTATGTAATAAATAAATACACATATATTTTAGCTTTATTAGTGTCCCAGAGCACACTGGGAAGGCACAGTGGAGGTGACTGAATGGGATTGAGTAGCTGACAAGGAAAGAGGACACAAAATCCAAGGTTCTCTGTTAAACGAGAGAAGCTGGAGGCAATTAGATTTTTAATTCTGTGGGCTTCTAGTATAGCATTGTCATGTAGAGTCAGGGTGCCATGGCAGAACCTAAGATACTTGCTGATGTACAAGTGTTAGTAAAATTGTCCTGTGCTTTCTCACCTGCCTCAAGCCAATAGTGTCTATGAGATGGGACTGGAGGGATTTTCACAGGTGGCTGTAAAGCTTTGCTAGATCCTGTGTCTGGTGTTGCCCTGTCACCAGGAGATGCTAATTTAAAAGAAAAAAAAAATAAAAGGAAAAGAAGCTGTGGATTGGCTGGACAAGGGGCTGCAGAGGGTGTATAACATCTGATCTCTTTTTTGGGACAAAATAGTTCACAAAGCATCTGAACACCCACTATAATTTTGACATGCATTAAAACTCCCCTTTAAGTGAAAGCTTTTTCTGAAGAGGGTGCTTTGCAGAGAGTTGCTTTGCAGCAGTTGCATGTAAAACAGCTTACAAAAAGTCAAGTGATTAAAATTCATGTGTCACAGCCTCTAATTTTTACAGTGACCGGCTCTTTAGAAAATCCATGTGTACCCAGTGTGTGACTAAGTGCACTTGGTTCATTGAAACAATATTGTTTTAGGGAAAATACACAGCATGGAGTAAATTTGCTCAAAATACTGCTACTGGAGGCAGTGGAATCAAGCGTTGGGGTGGTGGAAGGATGGATCATTTAGTGATTGCTAATAGATGAGACGGTGGGGTTTGAAGAAATTTGTGCTTTGGGACACATATTATCTGCAGGGCAATGCAACCATCTCCTCCTCTGGTCTTTGTCTTCATCCTCATACTGCCTGGTGAAGTGCATTGGGTGTTGGTGTCTTTTACATCTTTGTGTGCTGCAGAAGGAATTTGTGTTCCTGAAAGAGGACTAAAAGCTTTGGGGGGAACATCCAGGATCACCCAAAGAGCCAGCACAGACATTGGTGCCCTGGCTGATTGCTTCTTGCTTTTCTTCTCTCTCTTCTTATAGAGGAACAAAAGATCCCTTGTGTGCCCAAATCCCAGTGGTGGCTCTAATTTCCTTGTGTGTCATCACTCTGGGCAGAAGCCTGGAGTCTAGCAAAAATTTCCCTTGAAACTTTATTTCCGCTGAAGTCAGCCTGACCAGCAGCTTTCCACAGATGAGCGGGTTTTGTTTCTCACTTCTTGCCCTGACCCAAGTTCCTCTTGATGAATATGTCCCATCCATTGCTGACAGCTCCATGGAGGTGACCGAAGTTTCAGCTTCCCCTTCCCAGCCTTATGGGGGGATTTATTTAAAGGTTAGGTGTTCTTCTTTGTGTCTGGAGCCCTGTTTTTCTTCTCACCAGCTATCCTCTGCCAGCTCAGCTTGTCGGTGCGGTCACTGTGGTGTTTCCTGTTGCTGAGCTGAGTTGATCAGGAAAATCACTGCAGTGCTACTGTAGTGAACAACATATTCTGTGTTGCTTTTCTGTCTTTGGCTCCTCTCTCTTACTTTTGTACCGGTTGGGTTCACTCTTGGCACAGGCCAGGACTTGCTAGTCCAAGTAAGATTTCTTAATGCCTTTTTTTTTTTAAAAAAGATCATGCGTTACACTTAATAAAATGCAGAATTGAACAGTGCTAGGTGATAGAGATACGTGGTGTGAATATCATTGCTGTGGGTGATGGGGCAGGAGAATGGGCCCTCCAAAGGCTGTTGAACATCTTTTCAAGATGGGGATCGGGGAGTGAGGAGGTCTTTGCTCGAGTCCTAAATCAAACGGTGAAAGCATCGTAAACTGCTTGCTGTATGTTCTGTGTGTTTTTCA